GAAGTGGATCTGCAGTGTACGTGAATTGCGGTATCGTCCGCGAAGATACCTACATTCGTTGGCGAAAACATGGAAAAGTCGTGCGTGTACAATGAGTACAAGTCCAATGATAGGCAGGACCCCTGCGGGACACCTGCTTTAATTGAGTAATGTGAAGACGGGGTTTGGCCCACTCTAACACGAAAAGTTTCTCCGCACGCTCCCGGTAGACTGGACAGTCACGGCAGTTCGCGGGGTGATCTTTATCACAATTGGCGCACCAGGCCGGTTCTGTTCTTGACTTTTGGCACTGGAATGTATGGTGCTCCTCCGCATACTTCAGACACCTTGTCGCTCTGTAGCAATTGTTAGTTGCATGGCCCCAACGTTGGCAGCAGTGGCACTGCACCAGGGCTCTGCTGTTATTTCTCAGCTCCCAAGAGACTCTGGTGTGTAAGATGTGCCTTATATTATGTTTGAGGAAGCTCAGAATGGGCTCCTTGTCCGTGGCAATGTATATTGGACGTCTATCTGACCTAAGCCTATAAACGGCTACCACGTCCAATTTGTGTCTCTCCCTGAGATCTTCCTCAATGTTCTCAATTTTTGGTGCTGACTCCAACCCCCGAAGAAAAACGCATGTGTTTTGTCCTTCAGAAGGGTATATGTGTGGAATTCCATATTTTCCTGCTTGATAGTATTCCGATATTTGGTATATATGAGAATTGGCCTCCTGGTGTATTCCACCAAGAAGTTTTTCTCCAACTTGCTTTTCAACTATTCTCAGAGTTCTTTGTTGACAGATATTATACCCTTGGATATAATTGAAGTAAGACTCCTGCCTTTCGACCCTGTATCTGGCTGGCTCTTACTTTTGATGGAATCCACCGAGGTGTCGACCTACGTTGTATTCTCCGTTCCGCTGAGCGTGCTGAATTTATTGTTGTTATCAACAATAGTTGGTTGTGGCCTTTTGCTCGTCTTCCTAGCAATAACAAAGTCATCTACATCTTTATTCTAAGGAGTGGGGGTAGGAAGGGTTGAGAAATCTTTTGATCCAGTAGTGGTCTTAGTTGACGTTATTCTGAGAAAGTCACTTCCTGCAGTTAGTTGTCTTCTCTTCTGCCTTGATGATGAATTGTTCCCTGTAGTGATTCCGGAAGGCATCGATCTGGCTCTGTCTCATTGCTAAGAGAGAAAAATCCTTGAGGGCCGGGTCAACCTCTATAACAGATCAGATTGGTATTACAGAACAGATTGATTTTATCGATAGTCCTTTTTTTATGAGGGCTATCTTAGCATGGACGTCCTTTCAAGGAGAGGGGGAACTTTTCCCTCTTGAGAAAGTTTTGGCCGTAATCTGTGTTTCGGCGTTGTTTTTACCTTGCAGAAAATTCTTCCTTGAGATAAGTTTGGCTTTCAATTGGCCTAAGTTGTGGATTATGACGTTCAGGTGAATACCCTTGCCCTCTCGGCCTTGCTCTATCCATAATCTCTTTTAACTTGCTGATGATAAGAGAAACTTCTGCCTCCTTAATGATGTGGATCGAGTTCATTTCTTCTTGGAAGATTTTCTCATTCATCTGGGTGTTAGGGCTGGAGTTTGATAGGGTGTTTTTACACTCCATTTTTTCTTTTCCGGTTCCATCAGGTTTTTTTTGGGGCCAGTTTTCCTCATTACTCTGCAGGATCACGTTTAGATCTTCGTCTTTTGGTGCTCAATGGATGTCTGCTACAGCCACCTCTGTGTATATGTTGTGAATGAGGTCGGATAGAACTGGAGGGAAAGAACCTGTGGTCACTTCACTCCCCGCACTGGGCTGCACTCGGTCTCCGCTATGCGGCTTCTCCGTGCCCCCGGTTTGTTGGGTGTTGCTTTTCTCCAGATTTCTGTCTTGTTCATTCATAGGTGTTGCTGAGTTTTCTCTCTCCAGATTCTTTTCTTGCTCGTATTTTGATCTATACGAATTGACTTGCTTCGATAGTGTCATTTTGATGGTGGGATACACTATTATGTTCACTATGCGAGCCTATAGCCTGCTTTGTTTTTGTAACTGATAGTGGATGATTCACTTATAATATCGGAATCAGAGAATGTATATACTAGATCTACGGTTTTTGAAGATATCTTTCTACTAGTTAATGACTCGCTGCTACTATCACTAGGATTATCGGGGCGGGATTTGGTACTCTTGCTGAATATTTGCTAGGACTATTTATTCTGAAAACACTTCATTGTGAGATTTTCACTTAACTGAAAGCTGCTTAGCCTCCAATTTATTGGCTCCAGATCCCGACCCCGAAGTAGATTTCTTCATCTGCTTCCTCCCTCTTTCATTGGTGTGTTTACCATCACCTATGAAAAGTGTGGGAAAAATTTCCCAAACCAATCAGAATGGGAAGTGTGGTCCCCGAGTTACCACACTTCACCCGAGAAAAAGGGTTTATTAACTATTAAAATCACTCACCGAAAAAAATGGTCTCTGTTGAAAATTGCATTCACTTGAAAACCTCGAATTATTGCTAAAATAACTGTGGAATCGCACCAAGGTTGCCTCAACTGCTTCCTACAGTTGCCTGCAGCGTAGGTACTCAGTGTAGTTCAAATTTAGCGCTCCCCAGCCAGCTTCGCCAAGAGTTACCCTACTCAGTTTTCTCGAAATTAGTGAAATATATTATGCATGATATATTTTATTATATTTCAATACTTTCATAAATAAAAACTTTTCATCGGATGCTTCGGCAATTAACATTTTCGTTCGTTTAGGTGAAAATATTTTTAATTTTTTCCAACATATCTTTCAAACTTTCACTTTAATGAAGCTTGTAGTTACTTATAGTTAGACATGGCTATATTATGGTTGATATTCACCAGCGATATAATTATTGAATGATGTGTCCATGTACTAGATGATTTCATAGTTCCCATCAATGCTTGGAAATAATCAAACAAATAATTTCTGCTTTCTCTCATATGTGAAGAGGATTCGATGGTGATTCTTCTATATCGCTAATATCAGACATTTTTATAATAATTTTTATAATATAATGATGGATTTTGACAAATGAAACAATTAGGCAGCAATCTGGGGCAAACGTGAAATGCATAGCATGCTTGATTGAAAAATTATGGGCTTCCATTGATTGAAAATCTGAATCGTTATGAAAAATTTGTATCATAATGGATTCCATTATGAAACGGATTATAGGTATTATTATAGTACGGGTGTGAAAAAAGAAATAAACAAATACTTTTTCATAAACACTATCAACATTTTCAACAAAAATGTTATAATTCAATGAGAATTGTTGAATGAAATGTGAACATTGGAACAATAGAATAAATCAGTTGTTCAATTCGAGTAAATTTTTTCAGACCATTTTTAAATTTGGTCAAGAAACTAGTTGATTTATCTTCAGGGAGTAAAGTGTTGTAAGAAGTTATTCCATTGTATACTAATTCTATTCCAAATTCAGTTTTAATTTTTGCTGTTATCAAACCACAGGATCGTCTAGTATCATGCTTATGAGTATCTCAATTAGCTATATAATATATTGGGAAATATTTCCTCATATGTTTTATCGAGTGGAAAAAATGACATATCTTCATAAAATAGTTAGTCAAGGTCTAAGAGATTTCTTGGTCTATACAGGGCTTTTCATGATGAGCGTTAATAAGCCGTTTCTGGCAAACTATTCAACGGATCAACCTCAAAATTTCACAGTATGCAAAAGTCAATATGACCTACACGCCTGAAATATTTTAGACGAAGCGGCGTTGTCGCTTCTACTATAAAGTAGCGGCTTCTTTGATTTTTCAAATGGAACACCCCGTATATAATATCATATTATGATTCATTATCACTTTGTCAACAAATTCATATACTATTTCCCTATACCTATCTATTACCGTTTAGAAGATATAAATTAATTTCGATATTTTTTTTACCAAACATGAATTTTTATAAATGCTGATAATCTTGAACTCTCTTGCACTAAAA